GAGCGAGCGGCTGTGTGGCATTTAGTGGCCGGCTGCCTGGCCTAAACCACAGGTATATCAGGAACTACTAATTCCAGAGCCACTATTTGTAAGTGAACGAAGTAGCTGCAGGTTGGTGCAGCTGTCGTGCCGTCGATGGATTAGCCACAGGGCTACACATTTGGGCCAGTGCCTGGGAAACAAGCTGAGCCTGTCCACAGCTGCCCAGCATGGCCCCTCGGGAGCCAGCAATGCCCGGGCCGATCTGACGCTTGCCAATGTCCGTGCCAATGGCCACCCTGCGTAGTGCCCAGGGGGGCGGAGCCCAGAAGTAAAGTAGCTGCTGAAGACCAGCAGCACATTTTCTCCACCCAGAAATATTTGATTAGGTGACTATGCTTCAGTAAGTTAAAGTGACTTAAATCATCCCAAATGCCTGTAAGGTCTACCTTACTTGTTTTGATATTGGCTCATGAGCAAAGCACACTGATATGTTAAATGTTTCCTAAGCCAAAAAAGAAGAAGAAGAAAAAAAAATCCGTTCACTGCAGCCTGAATACCTTTGATTTATGAATCTCTGATTCATCCTGACAGCTCCTTAAAAATTCATGTCAAACTCTGCATTAATCTTGGCCAGAAAAAGAAAAGGAATGTGTTGGGTAGCACGAGTGCCACGAAATGCAGTTACCATTGTGGGTGTGTTTAATGAAAGGCATCGTTAGCATTTAACTCACTAGAGAAGCATCAGTGGTGCTTCTCAGTGATGCTTCATCAGTGACACTGATGATTACCAGATACTTTCTCTTTTTTGAAGTCCGTGGAACAAACGTGTACTTGGGTGTAGAAACACACCTCTAACGCTGCCATCTCATTACATTATTTCTCCTTAATATGTATAGTTTTCATGTATGTCGGAGCTTCCCACGTGCCTTTAGATACTGAAACTGAGATAATACAAACGTTTTGTGGTATGAAGGAGAAAAGGGAAATAAATTACTTTCTCTATTTTAAAAAATTTTCTTTTCTTTCCAATATTGAGTGTGTTTGAGATTAAAATCTTATCTAATGACTTGATTGATCAAATAGAATTCTCTATAGTGCCTTGGAGAAATTAGCATAAACTCAATAAAATGTTTTTAAAAAAAATCCCGATTATTATTTGTTACTGATTTGGTTATTTTTTTCCAAGAATGCTTCATTAAAAATAGTAATGTTTTCCAAAAAAATAATCAGATAGCCTGCAATTTGAATATAGTAAGGGTTTGAATAAATCAAAGCAGCTGCTTTCCTTTCGCAATAGTTGTGTCTTCTACTTTGAATTTCTAAACACAGTTTTACTTAGCATATATCCATGGCAATTTACTTAGTATATTCAAAGTGGTTTTTAAAGTATCTTAAAAGTCCCCAGGCCCAAGGTGACAGTAGATCATCCTGGTAGAGAGATGTAAGGAGGAGAGAGCAGAGAAGGGAGGTCCGTGGCTGCACTCCTATTCAAAACCAGTTGTGTTTCCACCATGAATTGAAACCAGAAAGCTGCACTGTCCCTTAGCTGGAAAGGGCAGGAGGCGAAAAACAGGAATGAGGTTAAATTTATACAGGAGATCACAAATTTTTTCTCCCTCTTTTTCGTTACCTTACTATTAAAGAAAATTAGGATGTTACTGTGGGATACCTGTTTTCTTATTACAAAATATTGATTTCGTAATTGAACAATTGAATGTGATTCTTTATTTGCAACATGTCACATCTGGTCTATGCCTATTATTTACAGTTCTCCAGAAATATACTAAGTTATATTCAGTTGAATTAAACAAAATTTAAAATGTTGTTAATGTTTTAAAAAGAAATTTGAGTCAAGATAATTAAACAGTTAAGATACTACCTATATTTTCTACTGAAAAATGTTTTTTGCCTCTATCTCCCATTTTTGTAGGCTTTCAGGTAACATCATTCATACAGTGTACCAGATTGTACTGAAGATGAAGTTGAGATCCATACTGGGCAAGTGTGAGTGGGTCAGAATGGTGGCTTTTGAGAAGAGTTGATGAAATTCATTTCAGTGTTTTTGACTGTGGGATTTTTCACTATGGGTTCTTTTTGGCTATGTGTGAGGTGATTGCTTTGGTTTTCTTGTAGAATGATTTTAAAATTTTTATTTTCTTTAAAGAAAGGGAAGAGAACAAAGGCAAGCATGTGAACAGCTGAGCACTGCTCCAGAGAATTTGTCATATTGACTGCAGGAAAATTACTGGCATGGCACCAGTGCCCTTCTCAGCCACTTTTGAGACTTGGCAAATTCTCCCTAGGCTGTTAGGGTAATGTGTGCATTAGCCTTTTGTAATAAACAGGTATCAGAAGAGTTGCAAAGGTAGATGAAGGTGAGCTCTTACCAAACACATAAAGGGAAAAAGCTAAAAATTATTATTGCTTTATGGAAGAGTATCAGCAGAAAGGTTAAGTTTCCTATCATGGATATCTAAAACACTTGACTCAGCCGAACTGTTGATTTCCCCCTATTTATTGAGTGGCCTGTTCATAATCAGGAAAGTGTTATGATGGGAAGTCTCACGAGAGGAAGAGTGGTGGGATTTGTGCTTCTACTCTGAGACGTGAGAGAGGAGGGTTCAATTCCCAGCTTTGCAGCAGATTTTGTGTGTGAGTAGCAACAGTCTGTCACAGCTATTTCAGTACCTCCAGTTGATCCAGGCACCCAGCAGAATTTTATAAAGTTTCCACCATGGTTAGTGTTTTCCATTGTGTGTCACCCACCTGTCTGCTTTAGTATTTCCGAAATCCTGCAAGACACCTCCTGGTTTTTAGCATCTAAATACTTTTGAAAACGTGGTTTATACCTCTCAAGGGGTTTTGGTGGAGAAACAGCTGATCTGGACCGTGAGGACCAGGGCATGGTGCTACTCGCATGAAGCTCAGGTTGGGAGGCCTGCAAGAAAGCTGGAGAGGGACTTTTTACAAGGGCGTGTAGTGATAGGACATGGGGCAATGGCTTTAAACTGAAAGAGGGGAGATTTTGATTAGATATAGGAAAGGAATTTTTCACTCTGAGAGTGGGGAAACACTGGAACAGGTTGCCCAGAGGAGTTGTGGCTGCCCCATCCCTGGAGGTGTTCAAGGCCAGGATGGATGAGGCTTTGAGCAACCTGGTCTAGGGGAAGGTGTCGCGGCTGCTGGCAAGGGAGTTGGAACTAGATTATCTTTAAGGTCCCTTCCAACCCAAACCGTTCTAATATATCAGCTTGGAGGGAGATGCCATTGGAAATGCATGTCACCCTCTCATGTCTCCATTCATGGTTAAGCAGTCCCTTCCCATCTCCACAAATGTCCCCAGGCATTTGTCCTCCTGCCACAGTCAAAATACAGGTAGCTGTGGGGTTAATAACTTGCTGGCTGATTTCCTGGGATTTCAGATGAAATTCTGAAATCCCAACCCAGCATCATCTCTCTGACTTCAGACCCACACCAGTTTGTACCTTTGTCTCTAAATGCCAGCTTGCAATCGTGTCACATGCTGTTGTTTCTAGCACATTTCTACATTAAAATACATCCTGTTAGTCCTTAGCCGCCTAGTGCGATTCAGGATTTGACTATTGTAAAACTTAGCTTAGGTGTAAAAATTGCCTACATGCTTGTTTTGTGAAGTGGAAGAACAGAATATCCCTAACGTTAAACCATAAAGCAGTGATAGTTTATTTATAAAGCCAGAAGAGGCATTTCACAAGCTGCCTGATCCCAGATAATTTCAGACTGTGTTTGTCATGTACATAGGAGACATAAAGTTATGAAAGGAAAATAGTTTCAGCGGCGCGTGGTGCAAGTAAAACGAAACAGCGCTGTACAGAAGGGAAAGGTGGTGCAGAGAGGAGGCTCATCAGATCGGTGGAGAGCCTGTTTTACAGGGTTGAGCCTTCAGAAAGATTGCCAGGACTGTCGGAAGTTCCTGCCCCATCCCAGTAGTGGGCACCCCTCTGTCTTCTTGGTTGCGTGGATTCATGTCCTTGCGTAGCGATGCTGCAGACCACCTCAAGGACTGATCTCTGGGCTGCAGTAGCACTTTTTGTGGAATAAAACAATGCTCTTGACTTTCAACTTGCATCAGTTGGTGAGCGCAGCTCCCAGCAAGGAGCTCCCAAACGTCTGCGTGGGCTCGGGCTGCGGGGAGCCTGCGGCAGTGTGGGGCAGCAGGTGAGCTGGGAACATGTCAAGCTGCTCTTGTCCCTGCAGCCTTCTCCTGTTGCCAGCCCTGGGTGAGGGCAGTGAGGCTTTGGTGCCTTCGGGCTGTGGAACCATGTAGGGACCTGTGATTGAAAGTATTTCTGGTCTGAATGCGAGGTTTGGAAGGGGCTTCCCTGACAGACTCGTGACCCTGCAAAAGGAGCTATGATAAAGGTATATGGAGTGTTGGATGGAAAGATGCTGGCGGCCGCTTGTGTCCCTTTCAGCCGTGCTTACAGCAATATTGTCTAGGTATGCCTCAGTAGCACTGGAAATATGTGTTTATGTCAACCCATGAAATGTATTTTACGTATCTCACCAAGATTAGTTTATAGAAACACAGTGTGTAACTGGTTCCAGTTGAAACCTTCGCCAGATCCATCTGACTTTCCTCTTGGTGAAAAACAGCAGGAGAAAGAGAAGCTTTTTTGTTACTGATTTTCCTTTTTTTTTTTTCTGGCCTTGCCACAACCACTCATCGTTTTATTACGTGTCTTACTTAATGTTACTTTTCTCTGTCTCCTGTCTGATAGGCCTAGAAGATGTTGTAGCAATAATGATTCCTGAACCCAAAGGAAAAGAGATAGTGAGCCTCCTGGAGAGGAACATTACTGTGATGATGTACATAACCATCGGGACACGCAACTTGCAGAAGTACGTCAGCCGGACCTCTGTGGTGTTCGTCTCCATCTCCTTCATTGTGCTGATGATCATCTCGCTGGCATGGCTGGTCTTCTATTACATCCAGAGGTTTCGCTACGCAAATGCCAGAGACAGAAATCAGGTGAGCAGCTGCTGGAATGGCTGTTTGTGTTTCCAAAAGGTCACCGTGGGATTCAGCTTAAAAGTGAAATTTGAGGAAATTGTGAATGTGTGGTAAAAAAGAATCAAAACAAAAAAAAACAAGAAAGTGAAAAGAATGGGGATATAAAAATGCCTGTGTTTGTGAAAAGCCAAGAATTCTGTCAATAGGTGGGATTCAGGAAAGAAGTAGTTAATAAGTATGTAGTATACAGTTGATAATGTTTATTAATGAAATAACTTAGTACATATAGCCAAGCAACATAGAAACGTATATAACTAATGATCCTTGAGATCAAAACGATGGCTAGAGTACAGTGAGGTATGTGAATGCCTGTGCATGAAACAAGGCTTCAAGATAAGTGAAGAAAGAAAAAAAGAACAGAAAGTGTTTTCATTTTAATACTGCTCTAGAAGGGTCTTGGGCTTGAAAGGCGACCATGTCCCTGTTCATTTGGCAATGATCGCTGAACGTGTGAGTACTGTAGCGATAGCCACCAATATTATCAAACCATTGCTTTTGGTTTTGGCATTTCTGAAAGAGAGATAAAACTATGGAGCTGGGGAGAAGTCGACAGCAGTGGGAATGAGCCCTAGGTCCTGAGGCCCTCTGGATTTATAAAGCGCTGTTCATCTTTATGGTGGTTCAGCAATGAATAATAATAGCAATGATCATAATAAATTTAATCTTTTCTTGACTGGATGCAGCTATCTCGGTATCAGCAGAACTGTGAAGCTGAGGCTTCTACATTTCATTCTAATGGTACAGTAGAAAACGTTATCAGTGTATGAAATCTGAGGAGATAACCGTTTTACTGGAGGGAAAAAAATGCACCGTAATTCAGAGATGTGCCTGGACCCTTAATAAATTGCTGTTGGGGGAGGGTTGCCTTGCTTGCACTGCAGAAAAAGTAAAACTGAGAGTGTTCATAGTCATCTTGCAGAGGAGAGTACTGCCACAAACTCTGTAACGTATACTTCACGTATAAGGATCCCTCGCCCTCCCCTGCTGGAATTCAGGCATCCTCTGAGATAGAGAGCAGCTGCCCTGTATTTACAGACAGAAAGAATGTATTTTCCTTTTAAATGTACAGTATGAAATTTTGGATAGCAAGAACGAGATTATCCCAGCTGGAATTTGAACATCACTGGCAGCAGATTCGCTGTGACTGTAACGGCTGTGAAAATTTTTGAGATGCTTTGGCTGCAAAAACACATGTGTGCCTAATTTATGTGTGTGAGTACCATAAGTATGCTTTCAATCAAGTGATTGTACAGGCAGATTAGCAGTGTAAATAGACATAGGTAAACATGAAACCCAGCGAAAAGAAGCAGCTTATTCAGGTAATATGCCCTAGTTTGGAACTGAGGGGTTTATGCTTTCAAGCAGATGTCCTTTTTAGTGTTTTCTTTCCAAAGTTTGAACGAGACTAATGTGTGTGTGAGCAGTTGTCCTGTGCAGAGGTTTTAATAACTTTGTTATTATACTAGTTCTGTTCTTCAGAAGAATAAGAAAGCATGCCTTCTAAGCAGTAATCTATTATTAATTTTTTTCCAAAGCTGTAATAATCACATGGGGCAAATTGGAATTTCTTCATGTACTTTCTTAACACAGTTTTGCCTGACATCTCCTCTCATCTCTTTAGCTCTTCTCATGTGAAAAATGGTAGCAATATGCAAACAAAGCTTGACCATTTGTGTTAATGGGTTGCTGTGGTTTGTTTTTTTTCTTTCAGTCCTGGCTGTGGAATATAATGATATAGATAGTTCAGAAGAGCTCATCTTGCTCTTGCCCTTTCCATGAGGGTTCCTCTCTGTTTCACCTAAAGTTCTGCCTGTTTGTTTTTGGTTTTTTTTGACACATTCTCTTGTAGCACAAGGATGGGATCACAAAGCTCTATTTTAGTATCTTGGATATTCAGATACATACAAGAAAAATTCATAGAATCATAGAATAGTTTGGGTTGGAAGGGACCTTAAAGATCATCTAGTTCCAACTCCCCTGCCATGGGCAGGGACACCTTCCACTAGACCAGTTTGCTCAAAGCCCCATCCAACCTGGTCTTTAACACTTCTAGGGATGTGGCGTCCACAGCTTCTCTGGGCAACTTTTTCTAGTGCTTCACCACCTTCAGAGTGAAGGAAAATTGTTCGTGTTGTTTTGCTGGAGCAAGATTGTTTTGCCATTGTGCTCAAAAGCTTTTGCCATTATAACTTGCGTGTGTCTGTTTGTATGAAGGTATTGTGCTTACTTATTGGAAAGCCTTGCATGTGTTGTAAGCACCTTTGTTGCTGGCCAACTTTAGGAAAGGCACTTCCTTCTATTTGTATTTGATGTACTCGGGCTGAAGCTTATCCAAAGGTTGAAATGTTTGGATAATCAGAGCATCAGATGAAGGGGGAGCCAGCTGGCCTGTTCAGAGAAAGTTGTGCCATCAGTTCCTACCACGCAATGCGATAAAATCTAACTGTATAGACAGACTGCCCTATTCTGAAAGGGAAAAAAACTGGGACTTCAGTTAAACAATTTATTCATTTATTTATTTAATATTTTAAATTTATTTTAACATCTGAATTATTTAAAATCCCACAGTTTTAAAACAAGGACCTGTGAGGGCCAATGTTTTCTGTGTCAAACAAGAACCTATGCCTACATCTTTGTTAACCTCTGTCATGCATGTACTTCCTAGGTTTGGCTGATACTGGAGTTGCTACCAGGAGCAGTTCAGCCTCCTTTGGACTGGTAGTCTGGGCACTGCGCTGAGGGAGTGGGACAATGTGGCTGACTGCAAAATATGATTGGCAGAAAAAGCCATTACCTCCAAGCAGGAGAGGTGTTGCACTCTTACATGAAAGCAGGATTTCTGAAACATCTTTCCTTGGTCACTCCAAGTCTCCCTAAGTCGTCTCCTATTCTTGTCTCTTCCAAGCTGACCCATTGCAACTATGTCTTCCTTTCATGAAAAGCGTGGTGTGTCCTTTTGTCAAGCCTCCTTGTCCTCTTTTATACGGTGACCTTCCTTTCCAGGTCCACTTCCCTTCTTCCAACAGCGTAAGTTGCTGATCAAGCAGTAAACCCAAAAGGAAAGAATTTAATTATCCATCAAGAAAGCAATGAGTTCAGCTAGTGAGAGAAGCAGCTGGAAGGACTGAAGAATCTCCTGGAAGCATTTCCTGTGGCTCCCCAGTGAGATGAAACCTGGACTTACAGCATGTGCATCTTCAGCCACCACTCTTCCTCACCATGTGTGCAAAATCCAGGTTTATGTGCCAGAAAGAAGACACAGCTCGCTCCAGTTAGGTGCCTGATTTTGAAGAGCAGAAAATCAGGACTTCAAGGATTCTCCTTGAATGCCCTTGCCTGTTGGTCCCAATTTGACTGGGAATCAATGCAGCGGAGCACAAAACTGTTTTGCAGTACGGGCTTGTCCACCTGCAGCCAGGGTGTCAGCTACAAATTTGGTTAGATTTCAGTTTTGATTTTAATGCATTTTGTTTTTAAGAATGTTTCTAGAACAGACAACTATATGATACATGTGGAAGTAAAAGACTGGTAGTAATATTCATATGGATGAAAATCTAAGGCCTCCTCTTTTTTTCCCACCTAACAAGATGTCCAGGAAGCTGTTAGTTGCCCTGATGAAATGCCCTTTTGATATGAAGAGGATAAATTTGTCTACGGAAAGCATAGGTGATCTGCTTCCTCAGTGGCTTGTTCCTGGAGCCCTCCTGAAGATGAGAGAGTTTCTCAGTGGAAGACTATGACAATCATTTGCATCAGGGAACATCAAGTTGCAGAGCTAATTGAAAGCAGTTTGGAATTACATGACAAGTTGTCCTGGAGATAATTCAGCAAAATGTGACTTGCTGTCTCAGCCCTGTAACAGCCAGGTCACAGGCTTAAAAAAAAAGAAACGAAAACCCACCCCGTCAGTGTGTCAGATTTCATATTTCACCAGTAATAGTAGAGTTCACTTTTTGTCGGCTGTGAGACGTGAGATGGGAAGACGGCAAGGGGATGATGTTTAAGTGCCAGACCAGTTGATGGTATTTCTTCCATGTAATTTCTTCCCGTTGGTTTCTTGTTAAGAAGTTTTCTGTAAAGTCATTTAGAAACAGGGTGGGCTCCGTGAGTTTTGCAGGATAGCGAAAGCCAAAGCCGACAGTGATCGCAGTGGGACTGAGGAGGGTCCTCTGCGTCCTGGGTTCATCTCCAGTGGAGGATCTACTTCAGTATGGCACTGGCAGGACGTGGAGGGCAAAGCAATTATCTGAGGAGGAGGACTGCTGGCCATGGCTTGGAATTAGAGTTTTGGGCCATTGACTAGAGACATAAATCTTTGAAGCAGTCTTGGGAAGATGCATCCAATGATGGAGTCAGCAAACGTTATCTGTGGTTACAGGAGATGTGTCTGATAGCTCGTCCTGATGATGCGCTTCCTTCTGCGCAAGGCACAAGGCGATCTCCTCCCTGCGAAGCGGGTAGTTTGGCAAGGCCGTTGAGAGACGCACTTACCATAATTTCTGTTCCACAGCCTCTACCGTCGTTTAGTTGCTCAGGAGCAGACAAGTGATGCTTTCCGTGCTACTGTCCTTTCTTTTTAACTAGTATCACCATCTCCACAAGACTGCTGCATCTGATATGCTTAACTCCTTCCAGTCCACGACTGAACATTGCAGCCTTGCTAATGAGATTATGAGATTTATGATTGTAAATCTTTAAGCCTCACTTTAAACCCTTAAACTATTGTAATACTTCTTATCTTTTAGGGGAGATCATTGCTTAGTGATAGCACACCTTTCGTTCAAATGGAAGAATCCTTTGAGACTATGACTTTACTCCAAGATATTCCTGTTCTCTCACAAACTAAATTATTCTCATTTGCATGTAAGACACGAACTTGTCTATTTAAGATAGATGAGAGAAAGCAAACATGAAAACAAGCAGATCAAAGAGGTACACGAGTCTTTAATCTTGTCCTCTCCCCTTGAAGAATGTGCGAAGAAGAACCGAGACATTTCATTAGTTTAAGTAATAATAATGATAAAAAGGAATCACAAGCAATTCCTGAAGC